TCCAATTATTTTGCTGCAAGCCCCTCTTATTTTAGCTTAGATAAGGAATAAGCTTTTTATATAGTTGAAAAAGTAGAAGCTGTCACTGATGGTGACATACTGTATAGGGTGGCTTTAGATTTTGAATGGTTTGCCTTCAAATGTCATCTGTTGTTTTGTAAATGATTCACTGAGCCCATGGCATCATATACAAATTCCATTTATTTTCTTTTTACAACAAAAGCATTTTTTTGACAAACGTTTATCTTTAGTGCAATAATTAAGGGGACTTTACTGCAATAATTAAGGGGAGATGTCAGTCTGATGAATGCCCAACTGACATATTTTGTATAGATACATTGAGAGTGTTTTATTCAATAAAGTATGGATTGTAATTAATTTTACACCTTGGATAGAATTTAATTTTGTAAGAACATGGACTTTCTGAAGCGGCAACTAGTTTTTGAAATCTTGCATGTTCTTCCAGTTAAAATCTAAGTGATTGAGTATATTGTTAACTGGTTTTCAAGAAATCATCCAGACTTAAATAAGCATTATTATGGTACTTAGGTAATGTGATCAGTAATTGTGAAATTCTTACTGCAGGTATTTTGGCTTTCGGTATCTTAATGTGTGAAAAATTATAATGCCACTGTTGCTACTATATTTCAGATGAGTGTAACTGAAATCCGCCTCAGTTTGGCTAATTCAGTTATGAATGGTCCTGGTGTTTCCCACATAGTCAGCTGGTTAAAAAGCAAAATTATTTTAGTGTTAATGACAGTCCAGTTTTAAGGATGATCTGAAAGCTTTTGCACTTGAAATTCTTCAATTACTTCAGTGTCTTACTGGGTTTTAATTAAAAGTAGCCTTGAATTTTGTTCCCCCTTTGAATGTTTCTATCAGTCACATTTCAACCTTTAGACTTGCCTTCACCTCCTAACAGGTAAATGGTTATTTTTGAGGATTGTTGTTCCATCTACTGATTCCTTTATTTAATCTAAACTCTTCTTACCTGCTTTGGTGACTGCTATTAACATTAACATTGACTGATATATTTGAAAACAGGTGGCTCTTTTTTTTTAAAAAATAAATTACAGCATTTGCAGATTTTGGTTGATGTAACTCTCCATTCTATAAATGTGTTATTTCTCTCCTTCATTTTACATCAGCATTTGTCAATCTATAGATGCAGATGTTTGGACCTTGAACCTTTGTTCAGTTTACACCATGTGTAAGTATAGTACAGTACAGTTTACTTGCTAACTGCTTAAACAGTTTGAGCCAGTATTCCTGTCAATTTTTTTAAATGTCATTTTTGTATCCATAACTATCAAATCCATACGCTAGGCACCTGACCTTCATAGAAAAAAATTATCCTGATGTATTTGGAGGACTGCTAGGAAGCAATTTAGCAATGCAGTTTAATGTTAGTGACATTTCAGGGAGAAAATTTCACTTGTCACTAAATTTTCACTGGAACACCTAAATCGCTGTTTGCTATAGGCCAAGAGAAGGTGTGCACTGACTGTAAGATTGAACTTATGGTTACCTTTCTATTAGCAAATTAAATTGCATTTAATGTCACTGATGGAGCAGAGCAGTGTTTTCACTCTACTTTTTCAGATGAAATTGGCTTTTGTAGAGCAGAGCAACCTATGGGATAGTGATTTTCTTATATTTTCCAAGTACAAGATCTGTACATTCATCCCATCTCACAATTAGAAATAATTTTCAGACCTTGTATTTTTAAAATTACGTCAGTAATTTTCCCGTCATGGCTACAAAATTAAGTCAAGGCAAGCTGAAATAATTCCACAGCACAATACTGTTTTCACTCCCACATAGTTAACGTACCTAATAATCATTGGGTGATTTATTGGTTGCTTCTGTAAGAAACTTCCATAAGAAGCACCATGGAGTGTGTCAGTGTTTTGCATCAAAGGGAATTGATTGCAGTTCTGTGATCATCTCGTGTTTTGGCTTAAGCAGTAAAATACGCTGCTTAAGCACAGCAAATAAAAATCATCACATGATATTGAGGAGAAAAGGAAAAATGAATGAGTAGTTTGTTTGAGTCTGGGGAAAGAACTTTTATGAAAAATAATGGCTTTAAAAGCACACAAGGAAATGTTAGGATTCAGCTGGAAGTCCTTATTTTTAAATCACAACAGAGGGTTGGTCCTAACAAAATTTTATTTTATGGGGAATATGGCATACATTAAAGGAATATTCAAGCTGAAAATTTAGTTATATGTAATCCAATTCCATGTGTTCATTTTTTTAATGATGAAGTTTGCATTGTGATACTGGGAAAATTGGAAAATGTTCTTAATCTTCACTATTTTATCCTGTTTTCATATTTTTGACACTGTAAATAATTTAGATACATGACACTGTATTTATAGTAGTGGTATTATGAAAATTAAAGGCCTGATAATTATAATATTATGAAAATAAATAAGCAACCTTTGTCATATTATTATATACAACTGGCTCTTCTGTAGAATACCTGGTCAAATATTACATTGTTTTTTTCAAATTTAGAGCACTTGTGCATGCTTCTGCATGTTTTTGGAATCAGTTGTCCCCTTGCAACATACTGAGATCTGCATATTGATAGAAAGGGGGACAGAAAACTTTGCATAAATTCATTTGAGAACAACTTGCTCCCATAGTATTTAATCACCTGGGGACCAAAGCTGTAAAACTGGGACAGAGTAATAACTATCTTTATTAATTAGACAGTTATATGAAGATTACTATATGGGTATTCTCATAGTGTATTTTGCCTAGCAAGAATCAATGCAATTTTTTAGTGAATACAGTTCTCAAGAAAACAGCAATTATATCATAAAAATATCAGTATCTCACCAAAGGACAATTTTAACTCATGAGGAATGAGCAAAACTAGAAAAATATATACAATAGGAAGATCACAAGGTATTGGATTAGTTGTGAACTACTTACTGCTCAGAATTAAAGTAGTGGGTTTTCTTGTTTAGGTTCTACATACATGCAGGAGTGGCTTGTGGTACAATAAGGATACTAGAAGATGAGGCAGATAAATTAATGCTTTAAAGTGTCAGGTTCATGCAGCACTTTGACAGATCCTTTTTGTAAGAATAAGAAATTACACATTGAAACCTAAGTCAGAAGACAGCATAGGAAACGCTCTCATAATAGTGTCTGGATTTGCTCACTTACAGCCCCAAACCCCACAGTTGCAGCTCTGTGGCTATTTTCGAGAAGGATCTGGAACAAATTAGGCTAAGCCTTCTGCTGAGGATGGTACCTTTCTCTGTCAGTCATCTCTGCCACAGCTGTACTATGTTTGCTGTCATACATTTTCTCCTACTAATTCAATAGCAGAAGTGTCACTGATTAAAGTGGATGTTTGATAAAAATTACTGGTAGTTCATATTTTGGTTGGTTCTAAGAGCAAGGAACATACACCTGTACGCATCTGATTCCAGGACATGGAAGAGTCCGCATACCTCCTGAGCATCCTGTTAACTTGAATTGAATTTTTATGCATTATTAAAAATCGTTGCTATTATCAATACAGTCATCCTTTTGAGTTCTGTTTAAGTATCCTACAATTACAGCGCAAGTTGATGTTTGCTGCTGATAGCAGTTTTCTCTCTCTACTTTGTTCCTGGTACTAAGTGATTTATTTTAGACATGTAAATAGTCTGAGCAGTTATTGAAATCTGTGACGTTATTTACCTTATTTTCTGTATACTACTGTTGAACTAATTAGCAGTATTGAGACTTAGACGACAAGACCCAATTTTTAAGTTATTTTAAGGCTCTGCACCAGGTTGACAGCATAAAATTTCATTTACATTTACTTTCACTGAAGACCCTTAATCAGGAAGAGACATAATCTGTTTTCAGATGATATATAAATTAGGAGGTCTGGATTTTAGCGCCTTTACTGAGATGGAGTTTTACAGTTTTTTGGACATTGTATTTGACAATGAGAAAAGAACATCACACAAGACATCTGGATAGATTAAACATTTTAAAACTGGCCAAGAAATTCGTTTTAATAATATTAGTAAAGAGTGTCTTAAATAAAAATCAGAGTCGTAGTTAAAAGGAGATTTTCATTCAGAGTTGAACACAACTAATGTACTTTCATTCGAGTACAGTTAGAATTGAACATGCTGAAGTTTTTTTTAAGAGAAGTCTTGTATTTGACCTTAGATAGATACAGAGCTAAAAAGTGAGATGTATTTCTGCATCCATCTCTCTACAGGGATGTATATATTTGTACTTACACATGTATGTATGTATATAGAGACAACTTTTAAAGAGATCATAAACTGATTTTTACTTGTACAGACAGCATTTTGCACATAAAAATTTTTTTATGTATGTTTTAATATAACGTCAGAAACTCAATCAAATTTTCAGGGAGTAGTCTCTATGGATATGTGGATGGGAGCACATATGTGTGTTCTCAATACTCAAATTTGTATTATTAACAATATCCTCCTGTTTACAGCTATACTCCCAGGTGCTTCCACTGTGCCAAGAGTGTGTTTTGTTTTCTATAAGGTATATGTATTAATTGATTATGATCTGCAAGTTTCAGTGTAAAGCAGCAGACTAATATATGCAATATGGAAGTCACATGATAATTTAACCAATATTTTTTAGTGATTAAAAAAAGCAACATACATTTTTCTCCATGATTTTTATTTCCCTAAGTCTGCATTTCTCAGTTCGATTTCCTTATATGAGCTGGAAATGAAATTTATGGGAATTTTTCCATTATAGTAAAGGTTTTTTTGGATTGTAACAGTGAAGGAGCAAATATCTTTTCTTTAAATACATTTATTGCCCAATTTTTAAATCTCCAGACACTGCTGGACATTCTTAATGTAGTGGAAATGAAAATCCAAGTGTGACATGCTTTATCTCATGAATCAAAGAAATATTAGCCTTTACTACAACAGTACCTGGGAAAAGAGAACTAACTATCTTTAATACTATTTATATCTTTATTACAGTTCAATAATAATGCTCAGAACGTCAGTTGCTTTAATCATCTTGTCCAAGCTAATGTGAGGAACAAGAAGAAGCTGAAAGAAGCTGTCTATAAAATCTCTGCTAAAGGAATTACGGATTACAAAAAAGGCTTTAGCTATGCTTTTGAACAGCTGCTAAATGTAAGTATGAAAGTCATCTCTGTCTGCTGTAAAGTGAAGAAGGAGAATTTGAATGTTCAGATGGCTACTGCAAGCTCCTCCTTTGTGTAACTAACTGGTAGAAGTGCAAACCTCTACTTAGCAAATATATTTATCCCAACAATATGTGTGGGTTTTTTTTCCTTTGCAGATCCCCCAACAGGTTGCTAAGATTTGGGAATTAATTTGGTTTTCAATGTTCTGTACTGATTTTACTTCATTCGATTAGATGTGATTCTCAGTTATCACATAGTTGTGGTAGTGGTTGATTCGCAGGTAATTTTAAAATGGAAGACTATGTTACAGTATTATTATTTCAATTTTATCACAGTATCTCCTAGTGATGTTTAGTTAACCTACAATTTCATATTTATTACAAGTCATAAATAGTCGACCATGGCTTGAGCAGGACAGAGGGGAGCAAGTTACTTAGTTTATAGTGGAATATTAGGCACCTGAGAGCATTCTAATTCCTTTCTCTTTCTCATGTATAGAAAGAATAATTTCCTCAAAAATTAAATGCATACTTTCCATGTTTTAATTACATTGTACTCTCTAATTTGCACCTAAGAACTAGCTTTCTGAGTAGTAATGTTTCCCATTTACCACAAATGTTGGGGGTTCATTAGTAATTTTTTTAAATAGTTTGTGCTTTTAAATAGTTTTAATAGAAATTTCTACTTTTAACCTTCATAAAGACTTCATGTTGGATCGTCACCTTAGTGTAAATAAAGCTATACCAATTTACATCAGTTAAGGATCTAGTTTAACAAATATGAAGTGTATTCTCTTTATTACTTTTTTTTTAGTTTATCAGTGATGTCTCTCAGTGTACAAATCTTTAATATTTCCCCCAGTCTGCCGGTTTCAGGGCGCTTCCCTGCCATTGTATATGCAGCCTAGGGCTAGAGCTGGTTGAAAAATTTCTAACCTTGTTAAATTTTGATGGAGGAAAAAATACAATATTTTCAAGGGTATTTTCTCAGCAGATCACTATGTGGATGAGCAGAGGGGTTTGGTGGGGAAATGATTGAGTGCCCTCTGCTGATGGTTAGGTAAAACTGCAAACAGGATTTTAAATGTTGGATTTTTCAGACCAGGCTGAAAGGCATTTCCCCTTTTTCTTCATCTATCTCATACAGAGGGAACCAGGAAGACACAAAGAATTTTACCAAAACCAGCTTGTTCCTCACAGTATTCACATTTTGTTAAGATTATGAATTACATTTGTTGCAGCAAATAAATATGAGATATGTTCTTTGTGTATAGGCAGTATTAAGAAGACCTGAACACAAGTGGACTTTGTAGGACTAAAAAAAATACTTAAAAAAATAACTGGAGATCTGACTCATAGTGGGACTGTCTCTCTTGTAGCCAAGACATAAGTGTGATTAGCCTCACATAATCTCTGCAAGCCTGTAAATTATGGCTGGACATGTGGATCAAGGAAAATGAAGAGATTGCACTAGGTTATAAAAATATAGTCATCCTTTTCAGATATTGGCAAATGCATCTGGCAGGAAAAGTAAAGGGCTGGTGATGAAGTTAGCTCTGGTGACAAGACAATGTAATAGGATGATATAATACAATACAGGCCTAAACAAATTAAAAATATCGCTATGTTGTATATTTATGAATTCAAACATGCATGGAAATCAAATATTTTTTAACAACTCAAATTCTCATAAGTTTGTGGGTACTCTTTCTGGATGACAGTTACTTCAAACAATTTTCCTGATTAACAAAGTAATGGTTCACCTGTGCCATGAAAAATTTACTGTTTGATGTGTTGCTAGATGGAAATAGACACTTCAGGTTTATTCAATATAGTAAATCAAGTGATTATCAATAATCTGGTTACCGTCATTTTTCTGCAGTATCTTTTCCTTATTTTAGTAACTTGCTATTTCTTTGAAAACAATATCTCAGTTGAGCATTTCAGGAGCTTTTTTACCCCCCATACAATAATAACTCAATTTGTCAAAAAAAAAATCTTGAAATCACTTCTTGATTTGAGTAGCTGATTTATGGTTTGACTTACCACCTTCTTCCTCGTGGCATGGAACTCACAGTGATAACAGCATTCCTGAAGTGTCATGTCACGAGGTATAATCCCGACCTGCCAATTAATAATTTTAGGGATGTTAAAACTTGTATAAAACAAAAAAAATTTCAGGCACAGTATAAAGTGGATCATGTCTTGCATGCTTGTTTGAAATGAAGGACGAGTGCAACAGAGAACTAAAAATTAATACCTAGACTCAGTTACAGCTTGTAGTTTTCTGTGCTTTAAACTAGAGAAGCTAGTTTTTGTCCTGGGGAAGCTGCTGTATAGGCAACACATTCCTCTTCAGCTGTAGTCTGTGTTGGGAGGACAGAGACATCTATTGGACTGCTGAGGCAAAGTGTTCAGAAAAATTATTAACTTATTGCATCATATTACAAAATCAGTTATATTCGCTCCCTGAGGCAGTACCTCTTCATCTTTGTTCAGATGGGGGGGAAAAAGATGTGGTATAAAGGCAATGCTTCTGCCCTCCTCTTGATCCCTTGTAAGAGGCTGATGTGTTAAGTTCACTCATCAGGATGTTTTCAGGGTGAGAAAATATCATATGATTTGAGCTTATTCATGTTCAGATTTCCAATATTGTTTGGAGGCCAAAATCTTGGGATGTTTTATCCATGACATGACTTTAGTGTCTAAACAGTGTAGTGTAAGTAACTGTCATTCTGTAAGTACCAGGAGATAAAGAGAAAACACCACATTTTCCTGATACTGTATAAGCATATGCTAAGCAAGCCATTAGAAAAATCCTGATTTAGTCAGTTAAAACAAAGAGTAGCTCAAGTTCATATTGCCCATAATAGTGCTCATTCCAAAATCAACAGGAAAGTTTTATAACATGAGCAGGCTTTGGTCCCTTTCCTTGTCACCTCTTTGGTTTCCATCTGATTTTATTTTGGCCCATATATTAAATCACTGTAAACGTAGGTGAGTTTATTTATGAAAAATACAACTATACTTATATTACTTTTTAATATTGAAAAGATTGCAGCGCAAAGCAGTATCTTGTAGGTTATATTTCTTAAGAAAAAAAAGTCATAAATTATTTCATTCCAAATGAAACACAGTATGCTGATGACAATGTATTGATTTCAAGCATTTTTTATGTGTTGTTACATGTAAGAATTTTTTTTTCCCAAATGATTAAATAAGTAGTTATTCACTGAATATTGATCTACCAACACAAATAATCTCTGAGGAATAATCATTCATCTGTTAATATAGTGGTTGCAAATAAAGCTTTGTATTTCAGTTTTCTGGGAGCATTGTAGAACTATAGAGCTGCAACACTGAGGATTATTGGCTGGTGTTTGAGGGCTGCCTTTGGTGTTTCAGTCCCTTCATTACAGAACAGCAACAAAGCAGATCAGAGAGTAGGATGAAAAGTGGCAAAGGGGAGTGGGATCATCTCACCTGACCAGCCAGGTGAAAGTCATTATCTAGTCACGAAGACTGAAGCAAGGGGGCACTGGCTGCTTTATAAGGATGACTGTGCTATAACAAATTCAAGCAGCAAACTTCAAGCTTGTGGAAGGGGAAGTTGAATTTATTTTATTGAATCTCTAAGGGCTTTACTGTCGCATCCAACTACTCAGAACTACCAAGATGTGTCTGACTAGGACCATTTGTATGCAACACAGAGGACAAGAAATGCTGGCTGTAAAAATCAGAACAATTTGCTTAAACCAGATTCTTAATTTTTAGGGAATAATGAAAGAAGATGAATGCCAAAGGAGGAGCCTTTGTCTCCTTCCATAAGGAGCTGAAATTCCTATTCATTAACTTCATTGTTCTGGCTGTGGAACAATGTTTTTATTCCTTAGCACAACACATTGTGGTTTTTTCAGTAGGTTTTTTTTAGTTATTTTGACTGCTGAATTAGGAGTCAGAGGAGCTTCTAAATTCTCTCTGTATCAGGCTTGCTCTCTTAAAAATAATAGAACGTGCTCAGTTCTTCACCTCTGACTTGCAATGTAATTAGAAAAGCAGGTGATTGAGAGATCTTAATATTCTAGGCAGCCATCTCTTGGCTGCCGATACATTATGTAAACCTGGTTCTAAAATACTTTTCAAAAGGTTAACTATTCATTTCACTGTCAGTAATTAAAAAAAAAAAAGAAAAAAAAAAGTGGAAGGTGGAGCTTGTTTTAAGGAAATGTGACAAAAATTGCAAATGGGAAAATATTTCTTTGTTTATAAAGTAGATTTTTTACATGTACCTATAGGCTGCCTAAATTATCAGAGTTTTCACTTAAGTGGTCAGTGAGCTTCATAGTTTCTGTGAGTAAGAGTCCAGCAGAAAAAAAGAACATTCAGTAATTTATTAGAGGGTCATTGTTTCCAAATTTATTGTCCACGAGGACAGTAAGGATAAGGAAAAATGTAAGGATGAGCAAGGAGAAGAGTAAAAATGTTAAGAGGCCTTCACTGTTGAAGTCTCGTGCAGAACATCTGTAGAGGAACACTGTGGGGTTGATGTGATGTGTATGAGCTAAAGAGCTTTCCTTGTGTCCACAGAGGTGAGAGGAACCATCAGATCCCCATTCCTCTGTGTTGGGCCCAGATCTGAAATGAGTTGTATTTAAGTCTCATGGAACAGAAAAATGGTTTTCGTTTGGGATTTTATTTTATTTTATTTTATTTTATTTTATTTTATTTTTCTATTTTATTTTAATTTTTCATTCAGAAGGGCTTATTGAATGAAATCCTGAAAGGCTTTGGAAGTTTTGCCACTACAGTGTTAAACTAGTAAGCATGTTTATATGAAAGCCATAAAATATAACAGTTGCTATTCCTTACTGCCTGAAATTAAAAAAGCTTCTGTTTGTCTCTATCTCCCACAGCACAGTGTCTCTAGAGCTAACTGCAATAAGATTATTATGTTGTTTACCGATGGTGGTGAAGAAAGAGCACAAGAAATTTTCCATAAATATAATGAAGACAAAAAAGTAAGTGATATATGAAAGATTTTACTACATAATATACAGCAGCGCTAAGAGGAACATTTAAATCCAGAAGTTAAACATTTTGGGTATGTGTATAAAGTACTTTTTAAAAACACATTAGTATTGAACCTTAGGGCCCTTAATGCTTTCTCAATTTATAACATTTCTTTGAAAGAAACATAAAATATATTTATTATTTTAGACCTTGTGACTCATTGGTGTCAAGCAGTACAAAGTATGCCATAAACCATAAAGAATGAAACTTTTTATTGACATTTTTCTTCTATTAGTGTAATCCTTGCATTATCAAGTAGAAACACAGGTAGTTAAATGTTATGAGATATATATATATATATATTATATCCCCTCACTGTGAATATTTTCTGTGGGTTTTTTTGTTCATTAGGCAAAGGCAAAATGAGATCTCAAGGTTAGAATCTGATTCTGAATAGTTTTGGACTGGTACAAACCCATATATTTTAACCAGTGAGGCTAATCATATCTTTGACTGTCTTAGCTAGGAGTGGGATGGCATTCTATTGATAATATTAGATCTGTGGTTCAACCAGAATTACGAGTTTGACATGAGAATCACTGAATGAGTTACATTGTTCACATTAGATTGGGTTATTAGCTGTGCTGATTTGAGGTTTAAAATTTTTATCTAATCAAACTTCTGGCCTGGCTTTTACATACCTTATAGGTGTAAAAATGCATGAATATGTGTGTGAAATAAAACAGCTTTGTAAATTATATCCTACTGCATTTCAGTGCCAATTATATTTAGAAAATTAATCACTTTCTAAATAAAGGTTAAATATGATCTGGATTCACACTGCAACTAAGAATTTATCTTTTCCAGTGCTTGGACATGTGCCTATACGTGGTTGGGGGGGTGGGGGTGTTTGTTTTGTTTTGTTTTGTTTTCAAGAAAAGCAGATAGAAGTTAGATCTCAATTCACCGAGACACTTTTAACAGTTGCCATGGATGCTTGTGTATAAAGCAGTGGAAGTATTTAATTGGAAATCCTCATGTATTTGAATTAATCCCTTCAAAAGGAGAACTAGAAATGCAAGACACAATTTCTATCTTGACCAATGATTCACTCAGTGACCTTGAATAATCATTTTGTGTCTGCTTTATAATAGTGTTTCACATAGAATGATATGGTGGGGTTTAGTTAATCTTCATGACTGAGCTGAATATACTTTTTAAACTGATAATTAGAAGGAAGAACTGAAATCATAGCAACTCGTAGTGTAACACACATGGCTGTATTCTGAAAATGTATGCAGAGATTCCTCTTCAGATTTGGAGCTGGTAGCTTTTATTGTGTTACAACAAAAGCCATCAGCCAAAGGAAATACATGCATAAGGGGGAAGATGTATGATTCATTTCTTATTATTTCCCATTTCATTTGCCATATTAGGAGGAAAACAGTAAAATACCCACTTTGAACAACAGAACAGATCTGCAGTGCTGAGATTTGTGGTCTTACTCACATCATGCTTGACATGCTTGAAATGTAGTATTTACTAATTTAAAATGGTTATTTGGCTGCATCCTTTAATACTGTAAATTTGCATTGCCAAGGCTTGAATTGTTTTTATGTATACTGTTATATATAATAAATTATACTCTCACTTTCGTGTTCCCTCTAGGGAATGAGGCTTTGGGGGGTATATTATATACAACAAATGTATAATGGTGCTAATGGTCACTCTATTGATTTATGATTATTTAGGTATATTTTCATATATAATTAAACGCAGTGCAGGTGTAATGCAATGCAAATTTCCTCCAGTTGATTAAATTCTATGTTACTACAAGTTCAGATCTTAGTAAGCGTGCACATTTTGTTACTTGTTTAATAAAGTACTAAGTTGCTAGATGCCTCCCTTACTGGTGGTTTCTTCCAAGGTGACATTGGAAATACAAAAAGTACTAAGAAAGATTTTGCAGGTACAATTTGAAGAACCATTTGCTTTATCCTAATAGTTTTCAATCAGTAACTATCCTTGTGGTGTTGAAGGGAAATTTATGGTTGAAAAACTTCTAATGAGATTGAACCAGTAAATGTGGTTTTAGAAATCATAATGACCCCTCCCCCCCGACAATCTTTCATAACTTTCTAATATATTTTAAAATAAGACTAATACAAAATACGCTTGTGGTCGTGTTCTCCTTAGTAAGACTACACTTGAGTCCAGAATGATCACATTTGGGCTCTCCTCTTGTTCCCTCTCTGTGCAATTTAGTGTTATTCTTAATCCAGTAGAGCATAATAACATAGTTGACAGATACATTCTAACATGAAAAATACACACATACTTTCAATTTCGTAAAGTCAAAGTCACAAACAGTGTTACCTTCTTAGATTGCATAATAGGCTGCTTTCATATATATTAAATTATGAGATATTAAAGACATGTGGATCTAGATTCTGTTGCCTTTATCGCAGTTAATTTATAATTTATTTCACAAATAGCCCACTGAATGCAAGACCAATTTTATAATTATAATTTGTAGAAAGACTATTCCATATGAGTAAGGTGTTAAAAAAGTTTTTCATGTTTTACCGCAGCAACTCTTCATAGTATAAATATGTATCAGCTCATGTCTCTTCTTGCCTACTCTGCATTTATTTTAACATTTTTCTTTGTGTTTTGCATGCAGTATGTAAAAGATTAATCTTTGTTGTCTTATTTCACAGCCAGTCACTTCCCATCTTGGGTACACTGTGTTGTAAACTTACTTTTTTTTTTCTTCGTACAAACAAAAGACCATTCATTCAAATCTGTTAATCCTGGTTTTCATCTCTCTGATGTAAAATCACTTCATCTCTTAAAATATTTTCTTCTTCATGTCAGTTACTTTGTAATTCCTTGTTATGAAAGAAGCTTCAATAAGTTTTGGCCCATCAGATGACATGACTTAGTACACTTGTTTGCAGTGCCCTTAGTGCAACCTTCAAACAAAGAAGCGAAAGAATACAATAAACAATTGGGAACTACTAAAAGAGCAGCTTAAAGTCTAGAGGCTGGAAGATTGTCCTGTTAAATTAGGGGGGTTAATCTGTTTGAATTAGCATGCAGATCTATTTAAAATAATTTCTGTCTTTACAAATAATTTACAGTCTGATTAAGACAGTTATAAAACCTACATAACACAATTTTGAGGAGGAACATTCCTAGTTTTCATCTGCTTGAGATGGAAAATCACAGTTGTGTTTCACTTTTGTATGCCTTTTTCCCTTTATAAAGCCAGATTTTATTGTCACATATTGCAACTACATGCTGTGCCTGATATTTAAAAACTGGCATGTTTACCTTTACGGTGACATTTGGGGCACTCACATTAAACGTGTGAAATACCACACACGTGCTAAATTTCAGGAATGGGGTGGTAAATTTTCATTTTATTTTCACTTATACTGCAGATGGCTTCACTGAAGATAGCAATATAAATTTAATTGAAATGTAGGCCCAGTAGGTGTTCATCCTGAGATTTTTGAGTTCAGATTGAAATTAGAAAACAAACTATAGCTCTTCAGGACAAACTGCGCGCCCTGAAATCTGTGTTTTGAAGGATTGCTCAACTTACGTGAGTAGGAAAAGACTTAAATATACCTCATGTGCTTGCAATTGTTTGAGGTTTCCTAGCATGGTGGAGGTTTGTGTGGGTCAGGTCAGATTGATCTGACCTCTCAGGTAAGAGAACCGTAAATTGGGTCTCATGTCCCATTTCCAGGGAATTATCTGTCGTGGTTAATACAACCTCATTTTGTGTAGATTTTTCTGACGGTATCATTTAAGAAGAAATGGTATGCAGAGAAGTTTTCCAGCAACTCAGCTCCATTAAAAATATCTGTATGTGGTGAGCACAGAACTGCTACAATGATAGAAGTCCTATGGGAGAAGACTCCAGCTTGCTGTAACTCCACTGGGAAGTTTACAACTGGCAGTGGCCTCTTTCTAATGGCACACATTCAGCATGTCAGTAGAATGATAAAATGAAGTATCTGTGTGAAAGCTCTTGCAAAACATTCTTCTAAAGCAAAAATACCTCACACTGTCCTTGCCAAAGGAGGGAGCCCTTTTCTTCATTGATTTGAATCCATTATTGCACAACTGCAGGTCAGTAAAACTAAAAAGAAAACTGTTAATCTAGGTAATGGTGTATGAATCATTCTAGACAAGTGTTAGTCCTGACTACAATTGACTATTGAAAAAGTCCATTATATTTCCACTTGGGATAGCCATGGGATTCTCATCAGGTGTCAGTCTGAATCCATACAACTTTCTAGGATTACTTATAGAGCCAAAAATAGAAACAGCATCTTACTGAACAGTAATACCAGCTTTGAATAGAGCTTAACAATTGTCAAAGTGCACCCCAACAGTTCTTGCATTTCTGAGTCTGTGATAAGCTTGTGACACGGGATCTAACATAAAGTAATTAAATTAAGGGTTGAACCGAGCAAAATTCTGGTTTATATCTGAATGACATGTTGCATACTTTGATAGATAAAATTTAAGCTATTTTTTTAAGTTTTCTGAATTGTAGATTATTCTCTGGCCTTCTTTGCATTAGCCTGTGATCTTTAGACAACCAGACACTAAGATATTTCTCATTCCTCCCGATAGTCCCCCTGTGCTGCGAATTTTCTTGGAGTGATGGTACAGGAAATAGCATGTGGAAGAAATCTCCAGCTAAGTGGTTAAACTGGCTCCCTGGGTCCTTCCCTAATCACTTCTGTCTTAAGCAAGTGTCATCTTCCAGCTGTTAATTTTAATTTATTGTATGTACTGTGACATGCACAACTGGTAAACCTAAACTTGGGTCAGTATTTATAAATTCCACAATCCTTTCCTTTTTCTTTCAAAGTGCAAACTATTAGAGTGTTCACTGAAGAAGTATCTTATTCTTAAGGCAAATTATCTCTTTTTTACCTCTTTCTTAACTCCACTTATTAATGAAGACCTTGCAACATATCCACTG